GTTGGACATTTTAACATAGGGTCTACGGCAGGCATGGGCAAACTAAGGCCCGCGGGCCATATATGGCCCGTTGAGCTTTTGAATCCGGCCCGCCGAATATTGGTACAAAATTGTCCAAATTATACTAAAGACCGCATTCATTTTGCCTTTTTCCTGCAATACCCGGCATTTCAGTTGATCCCACTAGATGGCGCACTCTAGACACAATTTACCTTTGCTGGAGTCTGGTCTATTCTCTCAGCTGGCCCCACTCGGCAACCCCGCAAGATCCAAGAACCAAATACGTCACGCTTACATTGGAGGGGGTCGAGATTAACCTGAGCAATAACTAGGGTTGGGAACCGAAACTCGGTTCCAGATGAGAACCGATAAGAAAATGCCGAGTACCGGGTACCCATACAAAATACACAATTTCGGTTCTGCTTAACGGTTCCTAAACGCGGTAGACCCTGTATTCCAGCGGGTCCGTCTGCACCGCGGTGCTGCGGTGACCCGGTGGAATACAGGGCGGACCTGGAGAATCACAGAACGGCCGGTCGTCAGCGGGCCGTTGACGGCCGGCTCGGTACGCTGACGGCCGGCACCGCCCTTCATTTTTTTAAACGGCATCATATAAATTGCGCTGACAGGCGACAGAGGTCCACAGTTGCCCCGCAGCGATGCTCCCCCGCCCTCCCGTAGACATTTCACGAGCTCAGTCACTTCATAACACCAAAGATAGGTCGCGGTAAACACTCTGAAGTGAGGCTCCACTACACTAAAAAAGAAAAAGACAAGGCACAGTGTAATGCCTGTTAATAGCTTGCCACAGGCATAGCTCAGTTAAAATAAAGCACAGCTATTGTGCAATACATTTGTATTGCATGTATATTTTTTAGTAACAATTTCAGTTAAAGCTTTTAAGAATAAATATATTTTTGTTATCTAAACGTTTGACCTCTTTATTTTACAATTTTGGAATCGAAACGGGGAATCGATAAGAACCGGAATCGATAAGCAGAACCGGAATCGAAATCGGAATCGATACATTTCAAACGATACCCATCCCTAGCAATAACAGTTCAGTTGTAACAAGCAGTAGCGCTGAGCAAAGTGACTAGAACGCGACCACACACTTATAAAAACACTTATATAAAGTCAGGCAACACTAACCAGGCTTAGTGTGATTCTGTTTATTTTACCTTACTTTAATGACCATCCGTTCACTGTTATTGACCATTGTGAAGAGGCAGACGTTTTCCTTTTGTTTTGTATTATTGCGGCTATCGGATGGAATCAATACATGGGCTACATGTGGCCATCACAAGTAAAATCATAACGAAAACTATGCCGGTAAAATATGCGTGTAGAAAACGACTTATGCCACAATATAGCAACAAGTAGTCAAGATTAGCTAACATCACCTGTAGAATGCCAGATAAACTTTCATAACAGCGTTGTGATGCCAAACAGCTTTCAGACTAAAACACATTCATTTATGGCAGGGGTCTGCAACCTTTTTGACCAAAAGAGCCATTTTTCTCCTTTTTCCAAAAAAATGTTTTGTCTGGAGCCACAAAACATATTTCATAGCTTGATAGCTAATAAAGTTGTATTTATTGTTATATCAGACAAAAACAGTTTTTTGCATTTATTAGGCTATTTATTACATTATATAAAACTGTTAACCTCTAATAAGAAACAAATAACTCATAAGGAGAATTAAAAATAATACACAGACCTACTTTAAAATAAATTAAACACATCACTTGGGGAGTCCTCTACACATTTGAAGGAAAACATATATAATTAAAATGGGCCCACTTTGAAATAAATAAAACATAAAGCTGCACCCTAAAAAGAGTTCAAGGTAGGGTAGGTAAGAATAGAGTGGCGAAGTCATGCCCATCTACTCCGGTAGACGAGCAGCCCTGCAGCAGGCAGTAATGCAGCTGAACCACATTAACAAACAATGCACCACGGCACTCTGGAGAAAGGTACAAGGTTGGAGAAGTAGTTATTTAATTGAATCTGGCTTCGTATAATTAAAAACTACCCGACGCAGTCCTCTATTGATGTTGTTGTGAGCGGTGTTGCGGAGAAAATCAGGGACGTAAAACGCTGTGTGGGTCATAAGAAGGCACGTAAACGGTTACGCAATGACGCAATAATTCACCTTTGAACCTAATTCACCTTTGAACCTGCATCTGTAACAATGAGTGGACCAAAGAAAAGAAAAGTCAACATTGAGTGTATAATGAGGAGTGGACAGCTAAATATTTTTCACCGATCTGCTACTGGCCCGGCCCGTCTGTCAAATTTTAAAACTCATAGTGGCCCCCGAGCCAAAAAGTTTGCCCACCCCTGGTCTACGGGAATTACTCCCATCTGCATCCATCGCCTACAGTTTGCAGCATTGGGCTTCACCGCACTGTCCCGGAGTTCACTGCTTGGCTCTGATAGGCCAGAAGTCGGTTTGATTGCATTCGGGCTCGATTGCTTATCCTGTCTGGGTAGCCCGGATGATGCTGCATCGACATTTTTTATGTCGTATTTTAAACACCGAAATTGTCCATTTGAATTGTTTTCACTTGAATTTTTGGGATCTGAATTTGACCATTCAAATTTGTTTAACTTGAATTGTTACATTTTTATTTCACATAGGTAAATTCGGAGCAAAAATAATTCAGATACATGATTTTCAAAGTAATTATTTTCAATGCTATTAATTCGGTGTCTGATAAAATTCAAATACTTCTGTCTCTTGTTTGCTTCCATACTGTTGCAACCTCACTGAGAAAGTGCATAATCCCAGAATGAGACGACACCTCTGCAGCTAATGCAGGTAATTAATTTGTAATAAAGAATATTTAATTGAATCGACAATATTAGGCATAAATAATAAATATGCCTAAATATTTGATATTTCTATTTCCCTGATAGGCAAGAAGCCTGTGTATATAACAAGTGCGCTGGATCCCCGACATAAACACCTGCATTTTGTAGCGCAGACTCTCCGCTCGGAGATTGTGAAATAAAATGTAGGCGAGTGCCCGACAGGAGGACCAGCGCTGCCACCAATGATACCAGAGTTGGTGGCCATGAGGCTGAGGGCACCAGCATAGCCACAGAGTCAGACAGCGAAAACCAGCCGGCCCGAGCTGCAGCAACGACCACCGACACACGGGCCGTGTCGTTAAACACCCTGTTTGGGGAGGACTACTTCACTGAAGACCCAGACCATAATGAAGTGGAACTCTATTTCAATGAGCCGTGCATCCCACCACAGGAAAACCCACTACAGTGGTGGAGGAAAAATGAAGGACGGTACCTAAAACTCAGTGTCCTTGCAAAGGAATACCTTGCTATACCCGCAACCTCCGTTCCAGCTGAGAGGGTCTTCTCTATAGCTGGCCTCATTGTGAATCACCTCTGTACCCGCCTCTCCCCTGAGCATGTAGACATGCTCATCTTCTTAAACAAGAATGAGTAGCCTATTGAATAGCTGCATTCTGTGCATAGGCCCTGTTATAGTTTTTTTTACCCACATTTTTAACCGTTTTTTTGGGGGTCGAATATTCGAATATACATTTGCTTTAAAATTCCCATCCCTAGTACTAAGTAACGTAACGATTGTTACCACATCCATGACATGCGTGAACGACCCAAATGGACCAATCCGTGGAGCTCCTCACACACACACACACACACTCTTTTAGCGGCGAAAATGTGACGCGCTGGGGGGGTGCTAGTGGAACCTTGCACCGGCGAAACTGTGGAGCTCCAACAAGCCGTGTAGGACAGAGAGTGAATACACATACTATACAGAGATGCTGTATGAGAAACCAATGTGAGTTTGAATTGCACAATGTAAATCTATTCTAGTAGACCTCAACAATGGAATTATGATCAGTAGAAATGGCCATGACATGGGACCTTTAAGTTCTTAGAGGCCAGACAATGAAAGATATATACTAGTGGAGCATCGCTGCGGCAAAACTGTGCCGCGCTTACACTAATTGCGCCGCTTCAGCGCATAAAGGTGCGCCGCATTTGCGCTTCAGTTGAGCAGTGGCGAGCCATGACTTTTATACCTAGGCCCTCTGACTGTTTCTAGCACACTTTTAGCTCTTCTTTTATAACTATCGAGATGTACGCATTTAAGGTTTCCATGTTCCTATCCACGGGTCGCTCTGTATGGGTGGGAGACCGACCAGCGCCACCTGAAGCCCTCTGCCCTGAGGCCTTGCTCATGACGAGCTAGAGAACTTGTACTGTCGGGGATTTGCTGCCATCTGCACGAGACTGTGGCTCAGTGGACTGGTTGTTGATCTTCAGATCAGGGGAGCACTGGTTCAATCCCCACTGCAGTCAGCATGTCGTTGTGTCCTTGGGCAAGACACTTCATCCCATGTTGCTCCTGTGGGGATTGCCCACTGTATTGAGTGAATGTAAGTCGCAAAATACGTCTCACCATATCTCTTGCAAATATCCTCTTGATGTCAATTTTAATAGTATTATTGTAGCAAATTAATTTATAATAAATAGTTTTTCCTAGTTAAACTGATTATCTTAAATATTGTATTGATGTATTAAGTTGTTTACATTTCTAATGAATATTATACTCTTGGGAGAAAATCCTTGTCTCTATCCTTTTGTTGTCTGCCAATTGTATTGTTTTATTGAATCTGTGGGGTTGGCTGCTTTTGCTGTCTGATTAATTCAATAGAGTAGAATGGCAATTTTGGTCTCAAATAACACAGCTAATTTTAGGCCAGAGACACGGCCTTGGTCAAATAGGTATGAACCATAGCAATATCAAACATGATGTGTATCTGGGTAATATCTGAGGTACCATGCTGCTACTAAGATTTTTTAAGTACATACACATATATCCTTCCAGAACAAACCGAAAGTGTTTCTGTTTCGTTGTTTTGTTGGAAAACTGTGAGAGCCCAATTGCATTGTACTGTTACAGCTCTTAAACCTTGAGTTTTAAAATAAATATATGTGTTTTTCAGAGCAGAAATGGAAAGAGGATTGTCTAGAAAACATATAATTGAAGGTAAGACGTTATGCTACCATTGCAAATATCTATAGGACTAGCCTTTTATCATGACAACAGAGGTAAATGAATTTGTATAGAAAACAACAACCAAGGTGTTCATAACTGCACATGTCCACATGGCTACATTACCTCAGAATGAATGTTATGATACAATAAGTATGTCATTGTTTTTATGAAACAGGTCTGCGGGCATCACTAGAGAGACTTCAGCTGGAGTACATAGATGTTGTTTTCGCTAATCGACCAGACCCTAACACTCCAATTGAAGGTGGGTTTGCTTAGCCTTCAACAGATCAGTCTTGTTTTTGTTTTGCTTTGATTGAACTCAACATTTGAATGAGACTTATAAACTTATGTCGAGCCTGGTCAAACAAAAAACATATTATTCTAAACCATTAAATCTTATTCCAGAAATATGACATTTTGCTTAGGTAGAGTAAATGAAGAGCTAAAATGTGTGTTTACGGTGACATATTGTGCCAACTGCACCTTTTGAATTGCTTTATTTGTTCTGCTTTATATATCAGAAAATATGCTTACCAGCAAGATATTCAGATTTGCAGAGGTGGGAGAAGTACGGAGCCCCTAAAGCAGTGGTTCTCAAACTTTTTCTGTCATTCCCCACTTGGAACAGGTGGGCCATTTCAAGCCCCACCTATTCCCCATCGCTCCAATAAAATGGTAGGCCAAGCTTAAAATTGTCAAATGTATCGTTCTATAACAGGGGTCTCCAACCTTTTTTAGGATGAGAGCTACTTTCAAAAAATAAAACAAGTCGAGGGCTACTTTTACTCCTCTTTTTTTTGTTTTTTGCAGTGTATATATTTAGCACATTTTAACATTATTATATGCCTACCTTTAACCTTCGTGTGCTGTTTGGGTCTGTGGGACCCGTTTTCAGTGTTTACTAAAAGAACATGTATGCAATCTAATTATTTTAACCTGCTTTATTTGGGGGTGGACCTCACATCCTCTAAGGGGGGACCTCACCTCCTCTAGGGGGGTCCTGGGCGATGCACCCCCGGGATTTTTTTTTTTTTAATGTTGAAGTTAAATGCATCAATCTGGTGTACTTTGAGCACAAAATGAATGTATGGATACAGCTCTCAACACTTTGAGCTGTATACTTTTCAATAATCTAAACATCTTTAGAATATGATCACAACCAATAACATATCATTTAAACTTGTTTATTCTTATCTTATGTTACCTGTAAGGGAAACTTCTGCAGCAATGGAGAGTCAGGACTCAGAGAGACACGAGGAGAGTTGGAGCTTTGATGTCAAACACTGGTAGTTTATTACAAGTCAAACGGCCAGAGAATTCATATCACAAGTCACAGCAGCAAAAGGTTCTGACTGCACGGGTGGGTTGTCATGTCAATTCTCATCAGCCTCGCATCTTGGTAGACCCTTTAACTAGTTTACAGAGAGTCAACCCACATATTGGGGGAAGGTATACGTGAACACCTGGAGACACTGAATCACTTATCTGACTCTTTGGTTCTGTGACCGAGAGTTGACCGGTCATAAAACTGGTAATGTCAACAATAGCTGAGACTTCCCATTCCTTAACCAGATAACAGACTTAGGGTTCGTCGTAAATGTCAACAGGCAGAAAGGTTAAATATCTTAGGAGTAAGGAAGAATTATTCTTTGACACTTACCCCCAAAACACACCAGGAGCGTCTGCGTCGTGTTACGGCCGCGCCGCGGCGGTCGTAAGGATCGCGGCCACTCTAGTCAATGGGTGCTATTACACCACACACGCGCCGCGTTACGGCTCAGACGCGTCCCAGAAGCGGCTCGGCGCAGCGCTTCTCTAAAATTAGGATGAATCCTATTTTTGCCGCGGCGCAGCCGTAAGGTAAACTCCTCCCCCCATCCCCCCGTAGTCTTTCAAGTAGGAGAATACATGCCAGCGTTCTCCTCCGGTTTACAGGCACTGTAAATGATATATATATAGAATAATTATGATGATGAATGCATATTTTTTTACCACTAAAATACAGCAACACATCTTTGATTCATGTCGTTTATAACTGGAATATTACAATTATTATTAACTGTGTCTGTAGTCTACAACACAACAAAATAGGAAATAACAACAATAAACACAATTTAAACAGACACAAACATAAACCATTTAACTACGTATAGCCTACTTACTTGTAGAAGTACAAATGTCCAGGAAATATTCCAAAATCACCAACAACTGCGAGGCTGCACACACGACGCTCCGCTTCCGCAACGTTTTGAAACGCGTCTGTTGTGTGTTGTCGCAGGAGGAGGTCGCAGCGTGGCGCAGCCGCAACGTAACGCGGCGCAGACGCTCCTGGTGTGTTTTGGGGGTTAGGAGTAAGACAGAAATATTCTCTAACATTACCTATAGCATTCTTTCTTTTTATTTATACAACGCTGTTGTGTGTGTGTGAGAGCGTTTCACATGTGTGTATGAAAGATTTTTACGTCTGTAAATGATTTTGGTTTCAGTTTTGTGTGTGTGAGCATGCTCGGATTGGCCATCTGGAGATTCTGGACTTTTCCCGGTGGGCCGCTGCCGTTGGTGGACTGCTGCCTTCGGTTAGTCGCTGGCTCTGGCATAGGTGGGCTGTGGACTTTCACAGCGCCACTGCGCCGGTACCGCATCCGCCGCCGCAAACACCGGCGGCTCTGTGAAAGACCGTAACAGTTCACTACCACCCACGAGGACCCAGGTTCGATTCAGGCCTGAGGTCCAAAAAATGTATTTTAAAAAAAATAATAACTTTGAGAAACGCTGCCCTAAAGGGACATGAAAAAAAAGCACACAGGAGACACACAGCAGCAGTAACTTTCTTCAAAAACAAAAAGTCGGGATAACGGGTTAGTTTCTCGTGCCCACAAGATACTTTCTCGTGTGCACGAGATACTCACCCGTGCGCACGAGATACTCACCCGTTACCCCGACTTTTTTCTTTGTTGAAAGCCCAGTGGTGATCTGTTCATCTGTCATACTGATCATACAGTCAATAACTTTGTTGTTATTAGCATCTGGTTAGCTAGCTATGCTAACGAATATAAGAAGCTTTTTCTACAACCAGTGAGGTAAGGGCACGTCTTTATATGATCATTCTAGTTATAAAAAAATAAGAGAATAAAGTAAACGGGTATAAAATACCATGACAGTAAAAAAAAGTTGCTATTAATAAACAAGAATACAGTTTGAAAGGGGAGTGATTTGTAAAATATCCATAAAGAAAAAGAAATCTGCTTACAGTTCTGTTTCATATGGGTGTTGAGAGATGTATCCATAGATCTCCTAATGTTGCTCTCAAAGTGCACCAGATTGATGCTTTTAACTTCAGCATATAAAAAAATCTTACCGGGGGAGCATGGAGGTTAGGTCCAGCCCATACTTAAATTATGTTCACACGGGTAGGAAACTAACATTTACACACATCTTGTGTCCGTATTACATTACATTGCATTTAGCTGACGCTTTTATCCAAAGCGACTTACAATAAGTACATTCGACCAGGAAGACACAACCTTGAAGAAAACAGAATCATATAAGTACATCAGGTTTCGTATCTTTCTGTTTTGGTGGTCATGCCACAACCGTGCACGTGCATGCATGCGCGAGTCATGGTCTGGATTAAGAGGTTGTTTTTTCTTTGCACAGCATGAAAGAAAGGCGAAATGAATGGGCTTTAATTTTTGTATTATTAAGCAGCGGTAAATCATTTATACGGCCCTCGGAGGATGTTGAAAACATTTAAATAGCCCTTGAGAGGAAAAAGGTTCCCCACCCCTGCTTTAGGGGCTCCGTAGAGAAGTACACATATCTTGTACTTAAGTAAAAGTAGGAGTACTATACCAGGGTGTAGGAATACTCTGTTACAGTAAAAGTCCTGCATTCAAAATGTTTCTCAAGTAAAAGTACAAAAGTATTAGCATCAAAATATAGTGAAAGTAGTGACAGTAAAAGTAGTCATTGTGCAGATTGGTCCATGTCAGAATAATATATATGATATGTTTTATAATGATTGATCATGAAAGTGTTCTCAAAGCTGGTAAAGGTGCAGCTTGTTTGAATGACTTTGTATACTGCAGGGTAGCTTGTGAATTTACTCCAGGTGGAACTAAAGTATGATTTAAGAGTTTATTAAAGTTCACATCATTAATCCAAATCTGCAAAGTAACTAAAGTTATAAAATAAATGTAGTTGAGTAAAAGTACATGATTTGCCTCGTAAAATCGTAGAATTGTAGTGGTAGTGGGGTAGATGTACAAAGTAGCATACAATTAAAATATACAAGTAAAGTACAAGTTCCTCAAAAGTACTTCCCCACTGCGTGACATGTGATGACCTTGCCAACCTGCTTACACAGCAGGAGCCAAGCACACTACTTGTTCACTTGTTTGCTTCCAAAACTCTCATGAAATGATTCTTTATTTTCATTTGAGGATATGATTACAGAGTGAATTTACTTTATTTTTAACTGAAATTCAACTGGAAAGTTCATTTTCATTGGAGACCAAGGTAAACACTAGGGGTAACTTAAAGTCAATTTACTAAAAAAGAAATCAGCCCAGCACAAAGAACAATCACTAGAGAAATATCCACTTCACCAACCACAAGAATTGTCAAACTTAAAGAACTGTCTTCTCAATTTGACCGAATGATCAAGTACAAACACCAATCAAGTTGGGATTTTGTTTAAAACGTTAATAAAATCAGAATACAATGATTTGCAAATCCTTTTCGACCTATATTCAATTGAATATACTACAAGGAAAGATATATAAAGTTCAAACTGATAAACAGTTTTGTTTTTTTGCAAACATTTACTCGTTTTTAATTTGATGCCTGTGAAGATTTATTATTTGGTTCGCAGCCAGGAGAGAGTTAAAAAGAGACAAATGGAGTCTCGGATAGTTCTAAAGGGTAATTTCATAAAGTAACGCTGGTTTTGGAACAAACAGGTTGGTGTTCACAGCGCCATGAACAGAGAGAAGAGAGCGATTCTAAGTGCTGCGTCGCGTATATCCAGTTCCTTTCTCCTCTTCTCATTGGCTGCTTCGACGATGGGCGGATCTTCCTCCCGGCTTTGTTCCTCTGTGATTAATATTGCATAAAATAAGTGGATTTAGACGTTGTGTGTTTGTTGTATAACTCCACACGCCTTTTCTCCTCATTCTCAATCATGACTTCTTATTTAATACATTCTTACAGCTGAAAAAAAAGATAACGTAAAACTGGATGTGACGTCATGTAAACAACCGA